AAAATACTGACAAATAGATATAAGTCTTTGCACTTCATAAAGTTGTAATTTTGCCAGTTCATTTTTTGTATTTTGAAAACCATGAAGTTTATGTTTTAATTCATTATACCACTTCTCTATTAATTTTTGGGATCAAATGATAGTATCTTCACATTTTTTGTCTTTTTCATCATGTAATATTAAAGGTGCTTCCTTTTGACCACCAATTTTTATATCCTATATCTCTTTAAGCGTCCTTATCTGCTTAGCCTCCCACTGAAGTTGTTCTTGTGCTTTTCTTTTTTTCCAAAGATTTGTTCTTGAATTTTCTAAAATAATCATAATTTTTATAAAAATAAAGGACTTAAAATAATTTAAGAATATAATAAAATGTGTACCAGTATTAAAAATGAATTTTATGTCTCTACCCACGCCTTTATACCATTCTAAAGTATGTAAAGTATAATTTTGTAAACCTTTACGAGTTACTCCAAATAGCTTCCAGTCTTTTGAAATTTGTATATTTTCTATATTTTCTATGTTTTTTTCAGTATTAACTTCCGACTTTATAAAAGTACCTGTCTTAGTGCAAATCTTGCTAGACATGATATGAGATTTAGCATTTGGGCGAAGCATTCTTGAAAACTTTCATTGCAGTAGTTAGATCATACATAAGTAAATTTTTGGTCACGTGATTATCCCGATTGGTCTATATTAGGCACATGATACTGCATTATGCATTTTAATTGGTTGAAATTAAAGGTTAGTTGTTCACTTCGTCAAAATTTTCTAATTTAAATATTCAAGTTCAAATAGTTACTACTCTTTTAAATTTCTGTTAAATTTAAATTAAATCCACAAATTTTGTTCTTAAAAACTAGAAGAATAAATTTTGTAGATTATTTTTCTATTTTATTGTTTCTAAAAAAAGTAGTAGCATTTTTTGTAAAGCTATTTTTTATGTAGACTTAAGGCCGAGAGCACTATACCTTCTTTTTTTGGAAGAAAAACGTAAAAACGTCTTATACCCGAAAATAAGCTACTATACGATTGTTAGTAGTTATTATATAGTAAAGTCAAAATTTTACTAAGTAAATTGACATAGCTTATTAAGTGAAAGTTGTTCAGGAGATCAAAATACATATATTTTGAAAGTTTAATTCAAATTGTATAACTTTTTATTAATACATTTTTGCATGTTACGTTCGACGAATTTTTAAAATTTCTTTAATGTTTCTTTAAAATTTATATGTATTAAACGTAAAAATCAAAAGTCACTTAATAAAAAGTTATCTGATTTACATGAAACTTTTAAAATATATGTATTTTGATCTCCTGAACAACTTTCACTTAATAAGCAAGGTCGATTTACTTAATAAAATTTTTCGTAATTAGCAAAAAATACTTTTATCCAATAATAAGCTATCCACAAAATTTTTGTGTAACTTTTTGGCCAAAAATGGGGTCCGCTAAAGTGGGGTAAATTCAATATAAGGATCTACATACTGCATAATTGTGTTTTTGATATTTAAATAAAATATCTACCCTAACTGCATCAAAAAAATAACTTTTTTAATTGCCCTGCTTTAGCGATCCTCCAAAAATGGTAGCTTATTTTCAGACATATACGGTATAATAAACTATTTTCTTTTTTTAAAAGAAAAACATAAAAATTTCTTATATCTAAAAATAAGTTATTTATATAATCATCAGTAGTTACTCTATAGTAAAGTCAAAATTTTACTAAGTAAAATGATCTATCTTATTAAGTAAAAGTTGTTTAAAATATCAAAATACATACATTCTAAAAGTTTTATCTAAATTAAATAACCTTTTATTAATTTTTTTTTTTTTTTTTTTTTTGGTGTTAAGGTGACCTCTTGGTCAGGTCTTTTTATTCAGTTACTGGTTAACTTTTTACCATACGCTAAGCCCCTCTCGGCATCCGTACAATATACATATTTTTGGAGGATATATACTAGCCACACGTACAACTTTTGATTATCTATTTAAGTAGTCCGCTTATTACTAAGTTCTACACTAGATGTCATATCTATAATCCAACTAGGTGGTTATCTATTTAAACCCTTTGCGCCGTATGTAAGTCACCCTATATATAACCAAATTGGGATATATCCCTTAAGAATCTTTATTAATACATTTTTGTATATTATGTTTAACAAATTTTTAAAATTTTTTTAAAATTTATATTCGTCAAATGTAAAAATCAAAAGTCAATTAATAAAAAGTTATTCAATTTATATAATATTTTTAAAATATATATATTTTGATCTTCTGAATAACTTTTACTTAATAAAGTAGATTGATTTACTTAGTAAACTTTTGACTTTGCTATAGAGTAACTTCTAATAATTATATAAATAGCTATTTTTAGATCTAAGAAATTTTTATATTTTTCTAAAAAAGGAAAATAGCTTATTATTAGAAATGAATTATTTTTGACAATATATAATATATATATATATACTATATATATATAATTTATTGAACTTGAACATGTTCATGAACTTTTGAACTGAACCTGAACTAAACATAAACTTGACTTAAAAGTTTAATATTGAACTTGAACTAAACTTTTTTTAAAAAAAATTCAAATTTAGTTCAATTTTGAACTGAACTTGAACTTGACCAAAAGTTTAATTCAATTTATAAAAACACTACTACTAGTAGTACAAAGGCCTATCTTCTATTCATTAATTTAAAAATATATTCTATAAAGAATTTATTTAAAAATAACTATAGGTAAAATTAACTTTTTTTTTTCCACTTTGGCCATCTTGCCGGTATCCTTTATTAAGTATCTAATTGTCAAGTGAAACAAAAGAGGAACTAAGCCTGTCTAATAATTTGAATCCAACACCCCGCAGTTACTTCAAGAGCACTTACAAGTAATCAACCGTACTGAGCAAAAATATCCATATGAATATATCGCGATGAGCTTCAAATTTGAAACTCTATCTATCTCAGAAGGCACTGTCAGACCACCGCCCTACAATAGGATATCACCAAACTGATAACATCTTCTCGTAGGGAAGTGGAAAGAAAAAAAAAAATTTTTTTACTAATACTAATACTAAAGGGAGAAAATAAACGGAAGCTAATACTAAAAAACAAATACAAAGACGAAATGTGGTAAAAAAAAAGAAAAAAAGAATCTGACAGATCACAATTATAAGCTTGTATCAGGCTTTAAAAAATTATATCTTACAAAATAAAGAAACTCTGTATCTAATCCCTATTCTAAAGATATGTATATAAAAAAAAACTACACTAATATATATAAAAAAACAAAGCTAGACTAGTGAACCAAACTAGACAGAGTAGCTGAAATCGCACCAGTAGCCTAGGAGTATTGTTAACG